TGATAATTTTGATATCATATTTTTGATTTATTTCCATCATTTTTGTTATATGTAAACAGGGACAACTGTCATTGTGTAAATGTCACCCCTCTGCAAAAAGTTCCGATTTTTTTCAAGGAAGATAACTCTTACCCGGATCGAAGTGATTGTAAAATGTAAAATAAATTAATTATAAAGCCATTGTGTATATTTTGTTCAATTTCCCATTCTATATGTATAGATCTTTGTGTCCTGTTGGCTTTTAGCTTGTAGATAATCACTTTTATCCGTTCAAATTCAATAAAAAACACTTTGTGTAACATGTGTTACATATTTTGCGATAAATAAAATATTTGTAGGGTTAATTAGAAATGCTTCTTTTCATTTTATTATTGTTGTTATTGTTCCGAACAATGTCACACCCAAAAAAAACCCGGAAAATATTAAAATTGACGAAAATTCAATTTTTTGGTATTTTTTCCAAAAAAGTCCCCTAACTATCGGAGTGTTACGATTTTCATAAAATCAACTCTACATAGTTGCATAACCATTATATGAAAGTTTCAACGAATTTCGCTGGTTAATTACGAAAGTGTGGAGCCACCTTAAGAGGTGGCACTATAAATGATAATGTTGTAAGCACGGTCCAACAACAAACAGAACACAATACATCTCAAGCACACACGCAGGCATACACACATACATGCAGGGAGATATTAGCCAGGTGGCATAGGATTAGTAGTTAGCGCCTGATAAGGCAGCTCCAGTGAATTCCTCAAAATTGTATTGATTAGTGTATATATGCTTATAGTATTTATTGTATAAAGTTGTATATCTATGTACTGTAAAGCGCTTTAGAGTGGTTTATTCTAGCTAGATAGGGCGCTATATAGAATGTTGTTTATCATATTATCATTAATTATTTCATTTTCCGCATAGGGGTTTCATAATTTCCGACGTCATGTCGTCGTTGACTAACTGCGACGTGGAGCACGTGAAATGACATTAAACATTTCTTTCTGCCCTTGGATAGTTCTATCACAAAGTGTTAACAGTCATAAAAGCAAAACCTCAACACACACATTTAAAACCTCCGGCAATGTTGACTAATTATATATAAGTCCTCTGTCATAACACATCACAGCTAAACATGCGTGGTGTAATCCCATTCGTCTCCCGCAAGCAGTCAGACTCGTGACATAATTCCATTTAGGACTCGCATTCTCACTCGAGGCATACACAACTGTAGTCAACTTTGTAAAAATAACCATATGAAAATGATCATTGATAATCAATGATGTTGTAACTGAGCTGTATAGAATAATATGGACCAATGGCACCTCACGCGAATGAGAAAAGGAATTACTTAAGCAAGTAAGGATCCCTGTCCTATACTTTGGTTTTTGCTATATACAGTAACCTCCCCTTCACTTCCATCTGAATATAACTACAGCACAGTTAGGTCGGGATCGTTCCGTTGACCAGGTTGCTCAATCGGTTAGAGCAATGGTATTACAATCTGAAGTTCAGGGTTCGAATCCCGGTCTAGCCCCAACGAACTTTTACACTCAAAACACTGTTGTTGATTATATTTTGTTTATTTCATCATTATTATTTCTCATAAATGTTTCGCACGGTATACACTGAAAAAAAGGATTTATCAAAGCTTTAGTCAGGCCGAATAAAACAGATTCCAACACTTAGTACGGGGATGCTTATTGTACGGGAATGTATGGAACTCGACATTGCTTCTCATCTTACTGTATAATTGTCGTAGTAGTATTGAAAAACAGCTGTCGATCCTGACGAAATATACCTCTTATTAAAGCTTAAAGATAGATTTCTATTCCTTATATTTCAACTTTTATATAAAAATAATATGTTTCATTTGTCGAGTCTTCCGTAATTTGCTTAGTCGGTAAATCCAAGTAATAACAAGTAATAGAGTCTCGTGAGATCCTAGTATGTTTCTGAATGAAGGGTGATCGTGTTCGTCATTTCCTTGCTCACTTAATGTGTGTACAGTGACAACGGCCTTGAGTATTTTAAATATCACTTAGGACATATTGTCAGAACAGGTCCTCATTTTCTTGAATTCTGTTTCGTGGCACACATAAAAACAAAACATCTGATCGGTCGAATATTTGACTAATCAAAATGCAAATGTCTAAGCCAAGAGTGACACGGATTGGCGATACAAAACATGGCGATATTTTAGGACAAATTGAATAAAAGAATAAATGAGTGAGTGAAAGAAAGATTGAGTGAATATGAAAAAGTTAACGAATAAAAATGAATATAATGCTGAATGCATGTTCATAAAGAGATGAAAGATAATACGTTTATTGGTCGATTGGTTGGTTGTACGGAGTTTAACGTCCTACCAACAACTAAGGTCATTTAAGGCCGTGCCTCCATGTGTGTTGTTTATGCGTGCATGTGTGTTTATGTGCTGAAGGCAGGGCACATGTATATATGTTGGTGTGCTTGCCTCCTTATTATAGCGCGGATCTGATGCCGACTTTATAGTGTCATCTCACTGAAACACCATGCTGAAGGAACCCGGCACAGCATGTCATACTGTCACATTATACTGACAACGGGTGAACCAGTTGTTGTCTTTACCTTAAATGCTGAACGTTAAGCAGGGAATAACAACTACTATTTTTAAGGACTTTTGTAAATATGTCCCGGCATTGGGACGTAACCTATTGCCTTCCTACCAACACACATGAACCCTGTCTCCTGCATACACACACGCAAGCACGCATACACTACAAACATGGAGACACGTCCTTAAACGAACAAAGTTAAACCAAACCAAAACAATCCTAACTTCGGCGAACGTTCAGAAAGAATGAATATGAATGAACTAATATGAATTAATTAATATGAATGATTAATTGCAAAGAAACTGAAATTACTGAGATATCATCTCCGATACTGGGAAATATTAATCATTGAAAAATAAGTTAAATGTTTACTGTTACGTACGTTCATAGAAATCGGAAGCCACATTGGAGGTGGAATGGCTGCAGAAGACTGTTCCCACACCTTCAATCTGCAATGATCACAAGAACCGCGATTCATTCATAGGAAACTTCTACAATCCAGAATTTTAAACACGGACACCAGTGTGAGTATCGCTTTTTATAGCGTAATAAATATTGAAAGGTTGATTAAGCAAGTTAATTTAAGAAAACGAAACTCACCTCTGCCTCAATATATGCTCTTTTTGAAATCTGTTTCACGTTCAGTTCAAAGTAGACTGTTTTGACGGAGTTCACCTTCTTCTTACTCAGGAGCATCACTCCCGGGACATTCATCGCCTCTCGCGTCAAGTAGTCAAAACAGCGTAACCCGCCTTCCGCAGCGGAATTGACGAGGCAAGAAATACAGGTCTGACTTAGTGACATAATTCCACATCGAACAGTACAGTTTACGAGCGCTGCACGCTCGCTCGCCAGGGATGTACATGTTGAAAGTATGCACGCAACAGACAGTGCTGCATCTGAACCGTGGCATGGAGGAGCATTTAACAGACCCCATAGCATCGTTTTCTGATACAAACGCGGTGTATAGGCAAACACTTTTCGGTTTAATTTCTTCCGTATCCTAGCAACATCATTTCCGTACCATACCTGGAAATACAATGATTTAATTAATGTCACTTGTGTTGTGATAAAGGCAACATTTGGCCATTACCCCTGCATATCGGGGATTCCAGAGGTAATATATCTGCGGTGACCCTCTACATAGTGTAAGAGGCGACTGACGTGGGACAGCCTGTAGTGTTTCTATGCATTCTGTGGGACGCAAAAGCAACCAAAATACATATGCTGCTTTATTTTTGTTATCTCTCTTTCTTATTATGTTCGTTAACCAGTACCTTACCTTGCATTCTAATTCAATTGAGATGTAACACCGCATTTTTTTTTTTGAACACTCGAAATAATTTGCGATGGTATAGGCCTAACACGAAATACGATATACCGTCCGCAAATATCTCATTTGCATATGAGGCCCGGATGGCGATTATCAATGACGTCATTGACCCTTCTAATCCCGACACGTCATTAAATTGATTATTAATTACGTCACGAACAATAGCGTGACCCGTAAGGTCAGTATAATTCCGCCTCAAGCTGAGATTTGAGTCCGAACTCAAGAACTCAAGCTCAGCGTCTGTGTTTCGTTATCACAATCTAAAAACTCAGTTTAGCGCTTCCAGCTGAGGCAAACAAGTTGAGACTACCCAAGAGCAGACATAAGTTCGAACCCAAACTCGGAAATGAAGCTGTTTGCAGGCTTAGCGAACAGTTATGATGCCAAAAAAAATGTTACAATATTTATTTTTTCACAACCGTCCAAAATGTCGGAGACACACACAATCTTTACTGGACAAATGCGCACGTAAACAATATTATTGGTAATTTTTTAGCCATTTGTTGAAAATACAGTCGTTTGCGGTAGTGATAGCCCTGGACCCGAGTGCGATTTGAAAAATAAATAATCTTTGCGTTATAATTTCCAATCAAAGGACTTTAAATAAAAAATGAGTATATATTTTTTTAAATGATGTATTTCCGTGTTGTTTTACCTTTTGTAAGCCATGCCAATATATCGCGGCTTGTTTGTGTCTAAGTCAGACTGACTTGCGCCATGCTCCGAGATGATGTTTCAATCTAGACAATTTTACGGTAAAATAACAGATATTTGAATATGTTGACATGCAGTTCTGGGTATAATCAGTAATTTATTTCTATAGTTTACTCATAACAGTATAAATTTCATTCTGAAAAATAGCAAAAACGTTGCAAATACCTTGTGATGTAATTTCTCACGATCGTCGTCTGATCGTTAGAAACGCCTACTTTAAATGCGGGACTTGGTTAAACGCACCAGACAGCGATTTATCGTTCATGTATGTAAACTGAGTCCTAAATATTAGTCACATTTAAGGTTTTAAACCAAGCTCTTCTAATGTATGCTGTTTTATACCAAGGTACATATAGTACCAGTTGAAAAACAAAGTCGAAACATACATATGTAATATAATTTCCCTTGTGAATCATGATTTCAATTAACAACAGTGGGACAAAGGAATGACTTGATTGGAGTATCATACCACAGGGACCTGATACTTTGTTACTGCTATATGTGGACCCAACCGAAGATGTTCAGAGTAAATAGTTTAGGTCGAAATATAGCTACAAATTAGCAGGTCCCTGTGTATTTGTCTAACATCAAAAAGTTGTATTTTGAATCCACATGTGTTCTGTGGTGTATTGGGAATCTTTAAATGTATCCAAAATATTTAGATAAATATATAATTCTATGAACGTTCGTGGTTTTACATATGATTGCATGGCTTAAGCTTTTAAGATCCAATAAATGTCTGGGGTTTTTCGCATTATATTTTCATAATTTGCAGTTTCGCAGTTTTCAAGATACGTCAAGTGTATCCCAGAATGAAATATTTAACCATGAAGTTTTAGTTAGATAAAGAACAAAATGACGTTATGCAACAAATATATTTTCCTTTGAATAATCTTGAAAATCGCTCAACGACTGAACAGAATTAGATGTAGACCCCATTGTGAGAGAAATATTCAGATACATGTAATTCTCTTTCATGATTCAAATATTTCTCTCGTAGCATTACCAATGAGATCAGGAAAACACACTGAAATATGTAAAAATGCATGAAACTTAGAGGGAAAAAAGACAACCGTGACCTGTAATTTGGTAAAGGACTACATATATGTAGATAACATCTTCATTATCAAAAAAAAATAAAAAAAATATTAAAACAAAATGTATGAAAAAAAGTCGGCGGTGGATTGGAAAACACTGATCTGACATTTACTACATTTCACATTTATAAGGAATCACTTCCCACAATCTACATATATGTTAATTACAAAAATGTTTTACATGCAAGTGACGATCAATGATAACGAAAAAGAACTAGAAGAAATGAATATCGTTTCTGTGGAAATTTTAAAACCCGTATTTAATAAATGATGAAATGTAAGTCTATTATTTGTAAAATTCGACGTTTATTAATATCAAATCTTTCCAAAATTATTTCGACGTAAACTTATGATTTGACAGAGGAACTCAGAGGAAGTTTACGTCGGTAAGCTCAGCTGAGCTTGAGTTAAACCAGCCGAACTAAAGTTAGAAAAAAACCGGATTTGTGATACCCATTTGCCGGTTTATCTCAGCTGAGCTCAAACCTAAGATTGAGCTTGACAACACACTAACATAATAACTCTCTCTGGAAATCAACACTTCCGTATCGTTAATACACACCTCTTGAAGACACATGATGTCATAATCCCTGGTTTTCAGTGTCTGGATGACGCGTGCTAATCGTGTATTATAATTGGCTATATAACCGGTGAGGCCGACATTAAAGGATTGTATGTTGACTGTCTGGACCACGCCCCATAGTGACGTCATACACATTGACGTCATAAACAGCAGCTGCACTAACGTCATGGTGTGATTTCTAGGAACAGAACCAAAGAAAAGTTTTAAAATTGAGTTGTAGACCGCTACAAAATCTATGTAAATATCATGTTTGTAGACATAATGACGAGAATGAGTGATTTGGAATTTAAATATTCTAGTAACTAATGCAAAAATATGTCTCACTTATGTATTAATTTCATCAGTTGATATTGACGGGAACAAATTAAATTGTCTAATCAAAATGAACCAAATTGATTGGGCATACGTTATAACAGCATCACAAAAAGACCCTCATCACAATAATTGACAAATGTTGAGAAATAGCATAATTTCATATCGCAGCGAATGCCATTCTACAAAGAACCAAATTGAATATGTAATATCATAAAAATTCAATGGAAATAACAATAAAACATGAATGAATGACTGGATGAATGACTGGATGAATGAAATCTCTCTTCCACACGGACAATATGTGTAAGGATACTGAATCCAGGGCCCCAACACTGACAGTTTTCAAAAAATTGTTGTTGGGCATCAATGACGAACAATATAATTTGTTATCAATTTGCCTGAATTTTTCTTGATTTGTAGAATTACTTTTTAACTTCAGGTTTAAATTTCCGAGGAGAAGTATTCGTATCAACTCTTAGAATATCCGAGGATCCGCCATTTTGTCCTAGTTATATCTTGTTATTTCTTAATTAATGCACTTAATCATAGGAGGTCGTGTAAACAGATACAGCTAACACTATAGTTCACTATTTCTATATTTAGCTACTGTACCTACGTGTATATTTATGATTACTATGCCTATTTATGAAAGCAACGGATAAAAGATAACCAGTGGATTTCCTTCACCACAATTCTGTTTTAAATCATCCCCTTAAAAGCACAAGAGGGTATGGTAATACTCCCTGGAAAACGGAAATCCGCTAATGGATTCAAGAAATTAGTTCCTTTTTTTCTCACAGTTTTGTTTTAAAAAAACAGGAGTGACGCCACATCATCAAGAATAGTTTCCATCGAGTGTTAATTATAAAAGATTGTTTCATTTTTACCGGTAAAATATTGAAATATCTTTTTATGAATTCAATCCGTCGTCTCCGCGGGCATTTAGATATATGTCAGCCATAAGAAATTTGAAATTTAAATACCAAAATTAAAAAATAATATTTGCATTTCTTTGTTATAAAATAAAATTTAAAAAGAATGAGTGTCTATACGGCCCTTTTTTGGCCCCGGTATGTTCAAAGATCTCCTATTGTTTTACATGACAAATTGTGTAAAAAACTAAGGTACATTGTAAAAGTTTGACCGAAAATGGGTTTTTGGGGGTACCAAAAGGAGTAGGGTAAATTACAAATATGATTTGCTGTTTTCAACATGAGCTAAAACAACCAAAATAATATGATTTATATTTCTGGAAACATGTGTAAATTAAACAAGCATATATAAAAGAATGAAAAATGACAGAAATTCAATCCTCACTTGAAGGTTGTTTACATATAACGGAGGATTAAGACAGGGGGTTGTTTGAGGTAATTTTTAAATGAAAATTGTTTTATTTTCTCAATAATTTCCTTTCTAATTCATATTTTGAGTTGAAATTTACAACTTCACTAATTTGAGTACATTTACATAAATTGCATATTCACTTCACACTTTTCTTTTGTTTTATACTGAGTTATGGCTTCTGAACACATTTCAAACTTGGCAATTTCAAATATCTCTCAATCTTAAGGGAATCAAAAGATGCAGGAAACCCTCTTTATGCTACAAGTATAATATATTAATAGTTAATATTGTATATTATATATATCATATAATATTTGCTCAACACTTGTGGCTGAAGTGACGTCCAGTTCCAGATTTGATTTGTTTTCTTACTTATCATGGTTTATTACAAATAAGAAATGGCATTTGCCAACACAACTACTGTAAAATGATTAATTTGATATATGAAGCTGGTAATTTTAAGTCTCCTACCCTCAAGGAAAGTATCTGTTTAAATCAGCAGTGACGGATCCAGAGACCTATCTGGGGGGTTTCCAAATNTTACAGTTAACCCATGTCATTGTTTTAACAATTGTTCTGCATATTTCAATGATAAGGGCTGATTGTACATAAAAGGCATTTTGGGATAAGCATGCAACTTGGCATATATATTAGTTGAAAATCCAAATATACCGGGGCCCAAAAAGGGCCTTATAGACACTCATCCTTTACTTTGGCCATTTCATTTAATTTAAATCACATATTTCATTTTTTTCTGACAATAACAAATGTATGTGATATATAATTACAATACGTATACAAATGTATGTGGTATATAATTACAATATGTATACAAATGTATGTGGTATATAATTATCATAGTTACACTTACCTTGCTAGGGGTTCAATGTATGTGTGCGTGATCTTATGAGACCAGACACTTTTCTTTCAGAGCACCTGACAGTCCCGCCCTCCATTTATTGGATGAAGCGATCTGAATGGTTCTTTCTCTAACGGAACTGCATATTACATCTCTGTTAAAGTGAGATAACCGTAAGATTCGCTGAACGAAAATTAATTTGCGAAATCACTATTGAGATACATTGTAGTATACATGGATCGCTACGCCGAAGATGGAACCATGTAAACAAAATGGCGAATAAAGATGAGACAGGGAGAAGAGCAAGTTAAGGCTAGCTTTTTATGTTTGAGTTGGGGAAGGGAAACGAGTACTGATATAAACAATTTATATAGAGGGGAAATTAACTATCGTTTTTGTACATGGCGGCCTTATGTATCATGTTATCATTATTATTTTATGGGAGAAGACGAATTTTAAGGGATTTGTTTTATCTTGTTCGATCCCATCTTTTATATTAAATGCTTACATTTGACTATATACGATTTGGAGTTAAATGTTTATCTATTTTATGAGCGCTAGAAACAAGTCGTAATTTCATTAAGTTGGCGTGTCCTTACAGATAACACTCCCTTCAATGAAATTGCAGAGGGCACTCCAATATTAATAGTTTACTCCGTTAGTGTTCCTTGCGACCGGCCGGAAATTATAGACCAAAACTATATACACTTCTGAAGATTAAAGCTCTTTTGACATTTATTCATGGCATGAAACCGTGTTGCTCATAATCATAATCCTTTATGAGCGGAAGCGCATCCTAGAGTAAATGCATTTAAAATATTTCCAAATCTAGATGACCGAGATCAGGTCGCTCCGACCGCTTAAATGAAAGTGAGAAATATCTTCTCTTGTAATCTAACGTTATACAAGCTAATGGTAGGTATCAGAAATATATACGTAATATTTAATATTAATAGCTATATTTAAAAGCCTTTGATTTATCTAGTGTGTTATCCAATAGTCCTCAAGCGAATAGGTCATGAACTGACGATGACCGTTCGTCAAATAAAATCGATACGTATCAGGGCAAATACGACTCAATATTGAATCATGATAAATTTCACAGAAAAAAACCCAATCCAGACTTTATTTTGCTTTATGGAATACTATTGACAGAATTCAAACTGAAACTATAATGTGTATCTAATAAGAAAGTGAGCTTTGAATACGTTTATTCATAGTCACTATAAATGTCAACCGGCACGTGAAGTACAGCACTACACGAAGAGCGCTAGCGCTTCATGTTGTAGTTGTGACGTTCCAGTTGGCAGTGAACATGAATACCAACTGAAAGCTATTAGTTACTTATATTTACCAATCTTCTTTTGGATATTCTTTATAAAAATCAATCAACATTACATATACAACGTACTTAACGTACGTGTATCAACATTACATATACAACGTACTTATCGTACAAGTGTATTAACATTATATATACAACGTACTTAACGTACAAGTGTATCAACATTACATATACAACGTACTTAACGTACACGTGTATCAACATTACATATACAACGTACTTAACGTACAAGTGTATCAACATTACATATACAACGTACTTAACGTACAAGTGTATCAACATTACATATACAACGTACTTAACGTACAAGTGTATCAACATTACATATACAACGTACTTAACGTACAAGTGTATCAACATTACATATACAACGTACTTAACGTACAAGTGTATCAACATTACATATACAACGTACTTAACGTACAAGTGTATCAACATTACATATACAACGTACTTAACGTACAAGTGTATCAACATTACATATACAACGTACTTAACGTACAAGTGTATCAACATTACATATACAACGTACTTAACGTACAAGTGTATCAACATTACATATACAACGTACTTAACGTACAAGTGTATCAACATTACATATACAACGTACTTAACGTACAAGTGTATCAACATTACATATACAACGTACTTAACGTACAAGTGTATCAACATTACATATACAACGTACTTAACGTACAAGTGTATCAACATTACATATACAACGTACTTAACGTACAAGTGTATCAACATTACATATACAACGTACTTAACGTACAAGTGTATCAACATTACATATACAACGTACTTAACGTACAAGTGTATCAACATTACATATACAACGTACTTAACGTACAAGTGTATCAACATTACATATACAACGTACTTAACGTACAAGTGTATCAACATTACATATACAACGTACTTAACGTACAAGTGTATCAACATTACATATACAACGTACTTAACGTACAAGTGTATCAACATTACATATACAACGTACTTAACGTACAAGTGTATCAACATTACATATACAACGTACTTAACGTACAAGTGTATCAACATTACATATACAACGTACTTAACGTACAAGTGTATCAACATTACATATACAACGTACTTAACGTACAAGTGTATCAACATTACATATACAACGTACTTAACGTACAAGTGTATCAACATTACATATACAACGTACTTAACGTACAAGTGTATCAACATTACATATACAACGTACTTAACGTACAAGTGTATCAACATTACATATACAACGTACTTAACGTACAAGTGTATCAACATTACATATACAACGTACTTAACGTACAAGTGTATCAACATTACATATACAACGTACTTAACGTACAAGTGTATCAACATTACATATACAACGTACTTAACGTACAAGTGTATCAACATTACATATACAACGTACTTAACGTACAAGTGTATCAACATTACATATACAACGTACTTAACGTACAAGTGTATCAACATTACATATACAACGTACTTAACGTACAAGTGTATCAACATTACATATACAACGTACTTAACGTACAAGTGTATCAACATTACATATACAACGTACTTAACGTACAAGTGTATCAACATTACATATACAACGTACTTAACGTACAAGTGTATCAACATTACATATACAACGTACTTAACGTACAAGTGTATCAACATTACATATACAACGTTCTTAACGTACAAGTGTATTAACATTACATATACAACGTACTTAACGTACAAGTGTATCAACATTACATATACAACGTACTTAACGTACAAGTGTTTCAACATTACATCATTGCACTAGTAACAACGTAGTTATAGGTACAAGGTGTAATGTAATTGCCATAACTGTATGTAAGAGTTGCCTCCCTTAGAATTCTACATTATTATTGTTGATTATTGTTGTAATCGACCTTTATTTTATGACTTATTGATGGGGCAAGCGACCCTTATAAAAAGCAAATGTTGAACGCCATCTTGAGTCTGGTGTCATATGTCACACAAGGCACCCTATATATATGAAATATACACGACAAAACAAAGAAACGCTTAAACTTACATCCTGCATAACTCCTTTATCTGTAAAGCACGATTGTAACGTTTTGTTCATGTACCATTCAATGAACTCCTTTATGGATGACCAGGACTAAAATCAGTCAAACATGACCTATTCCGTGTGTGGCTTTGTTAAATACGTTAGTCCAAATCACGTGACCCGACTAAAATTAGGCATTGTTTTCGCAAATAATCATATAACACGAGACGTTGACATTAACCCCATCATATTTCCATACAAACAGTTTATATTTTGCCATTGCATAACGCATGCTTCTAGTTTTCTGAAACCAAGCATCTTTGCCAGGTCAAGAAGCCACACTGGCCACAACAGCTTATACATGGCCTTGATCATATTTATTCCGTAATGGCCAAGACCTAAGATATAATACAAAGTCATGAAATAATAACAATATTACAATAAGGGTAATTCAGTGTTTACGATATGAATCGATTTAGCTGCCAATGAATTTTAATTTTAAGCATGTTTTCAGTTAATAACCTGTGAATTTAAACACATATTTTCTACGTACCTGTTAACATTATAATGTTGTTTTATTTCCGGCATTGGCTCATGTCGACATTTGTGAAATGTTGGAATTCGTCCCTGTGGGTCGTGACATTGGCCTTGTCCTCCAATTCTCTGGGACATTCCGTACATTTGTGGATGTTTTCCAAAACTCTACTACCCAAGAGTGTATAACAAACCCTCGCACCCCACAAATGTCCATTGCCTTTGGTCCCCCATCTCACACAACTCTTTGATGTTATTAAGTACCTAAAGGAAACGTCAATATTTAAGTTCCGTACAAATGCATGATATTCATATATACTGCTCTTGTTTTTCGGGAACACGTTTCTAGACGGGGAAGCCGACTGAAACATTGGCTATTAGTATTTTATTTAATGGAAATACAGAACACACAAACCAGCTTATATGACGATGCTTACAATCAAATATAGATGTATAATGATTATTATTATCAATAAAGCATAATCTTCATGTTACACATCAGATCACATATCTCTTCATCATATTTATTTTGTTTTTATTGATGCTGTCATTTATCTTCTGGGCGGACTTTCATCGGCATGGCCGGATATATGAAGGTAGAGCTATATAAATAAATGCGTCTTGTCAGTTATTGTGTCATGTGCAGGAATAGGAATACCAATAACTAAGATCTAATTGAAATATGCAATGCTTCTTCAGCAGTTATTTCATTTTATTATGTCTCCCGTTCTTCTTCTTCTTTTTCTGGTTTTTCTAATCTGACTTGTCCGGGCCATAACTTTTAAACCGTTAAAGATATCTTGATGACACTTTAGGTATGCATGCATCACCCACAGGATTTGTGCATTGCACTAGAATTAGTTCACTGTGACCTTCACCTCAAGTTCAAAGGTCAAATAAGTGCACATTTTCAGTAAATTCTTGTCCGGCCCGTAAATTTCAAGCCGTTAAAGATATCTTAGTCAAACTTGAAGTATATCTACATCACCCACAGAAGGTGTGTAGTGCACTGGAATTAGGTCTCGTGCAATACTATATACAGAATTATGGCCCTTTGTTTAATGTTAATACCGAAGTTTGTCCAGAGCATAAGTTCTATGTTATTTCACCTACGTTGACCATACTTACCATATTGATGTATCTTGGGAAGACGGAATTTCTCA